CAACGCCACCTACGACGAGCGGAAGAACGTTCCCTGGGTTTTGTGCAAAGTCACAGGTTCAATCCTGGGTCGGAGTTCTAACAGAACGTTGGTCCGCATTTACAGCACACAACCACACGGCGCTGACTGGAAGGCTTGTCGTTCAGCCGGGGGGTCGGGGGCAGGGTGGGAGAATGATTGCCTTCAATGACCCGATCCCCAGTGTGTCTCGATCGTGTCCACGCGCCACCAACATATGCCACTACTTATTCCTTCGTTTCTCAGTTGCATGCATCCCTCCCCGCCATTCTGCGCTGCCTCTGCTACTACTGTGCCTCGCAAACGGGGGGCAACAACGCGTAATTATGGGACACACGCCTGACGCAGGAGCATTGAAGCAGGCATCGAAGACCTGCACAGCCTGAACCAAGGAATCCACGCCGTTTACCAGAACAACAACAACAACAACAGCGACACCGCCAGCAGTGGTAGCAGTAGCGGCAGGAGCAGCGGCAGCGGCAGCGGCGACACCGCTGCAGTCGGCGGTAGCTGCATGTTTCTCATCCCCCCCGCCCGAACCGTCGACGCCACGGGCGGCTTGGCGCCCGCAGCCCCTGGCACCCACAATGGTGGCCGCTGGAGCGGTTCTCAACACCAAGTTGGCGTTGCAGGGGGGCAGCCATGGGAGGGAGTTCTGGGTTACAACGACAGCGGCACCAGAACCCGCCTAGGACGTGGCGGCGGCCGCGGCGGCGGCGGTTCGCCGGTGTTTGAGCCATGTTGGGGAGGAGAAGCTCCTCCGACCCACGGGGGGGCTGAAGGAGCTGCTCCGACCAAGGCGGAGGCGGGGAAAGTGTCAGTGGGAACGTCACCGGCCGCGCGAATAAAGAGTTCGCGTTACCAGCAGCAGCAGCAGCAGCATCAGCAGCACGACGACGACCACCACCGCAGGTACTAAAAGTAATCCGTTCGTTTTTTTCCGGGCTGGGCAGGATTAAAGGCTGCAGGCTCGTGTTTGGCGGACCCCTTGGCTTGGAGGTAGGGGGAGGTCGACCCTGGTGATTCGTTATGATGTTGGTGCGGTCACATGCACGACGATTGGGGCATCCCCCCGTCCCGTCGCCCTGCAGGCGGCGTTTTCGCCATGCGGCAACACTGATTTGTCGACACCAACCTCGACCCTGAACACGCTTTCATTGACCCGTCTGACCCCCCCCCCCCCCCCCCCCCCCCCCCCCCCCCCCCCCCCCCCCCCCCCCCCCCCC